TGAACCGCTGCCACCCTGACAACTTTGGATCTATTTAAGAGAGACAAATATATGGTCCCTGTAACTGCTTCTGGGTGACCCCACCCTGTGCAGAGCCCAAAGTTCATCAAGGGAGGTGGAAAATGCAGGTGCCTTTCCTCTGAAGATGAAGGCATCTGGTCAAAAGTCACCAGAAGATCTATCAGGAAAAATAGGCTACAAACCAGAAGAGACTCTCCCACCTGCAGATGCCCAGGAAGCCCTGGGCTTGGAGACAGGCGGCACTGCAAGAAGCACTCTGTGTTAGCTCCACTCAAGCCAGTGAGAGCTGCGGACATGACTTCAGCAAACACCCAGCCAACGGGAGCACTTTGGGAAAGACCAGCCCTAGATTTCTAAAAACAGCAGCTCCCAGTGAGGTATTCGCTGTCACAGGCTGTAACAACCAACATTCCCTCTGGGATTTTTTCCTAAATTGCTTAGGAGATGAATACACCAACCAGGAGGATTCTGGAGACCACCCTTATGATCCCTTGGGAAAAGTCCTAGAGCTAAGCATAGATGTGGCAATCTTCCTGGTGATTAGTAAGAGCTGATGAACCACTTCTACAAGGCAGGATGGGATCCCACTTGAATTATTTCCAGCTGATAAGACCCCAAGCTCTGCCTTCCCCTGCCATGTGCCAGATTGAAGCTGTGTCTCCTGACCTGCTTTACTCCCCTGAAGTCACCTTCCTCTCTCATCCTCCCTTTGAATGGAGGGAGACCACCAATCCTGCATCAAGTGAGCAGTACTGTCTTGCAGCTCAAATTCAACAACATCTTCCTCATGGCAGAATTGCAGCCATGAAGCCCAAGTCTTTCCCAGGTTGCTTCTGGCTGCCCATCCTTCAAGGAAGTAGCAGCCTGGCAACCCACTAAGAAAAAGCAACACAACTTCATAGGACATCAGGGAAAAAAGCAATGAAGCCAACAGGCTGTGACATTTAGCTGCCTGTGGTCTGACTCAGATGTCCTCTCTCAGTGGTCTCTTCTGTCTTGTCTTCTTTCACATATGCCCCATCTTAACACAAAAGCTTCTGAAGACTGGAAGAGTTGGGCACTAACTAGGGGAAGCCTGGTAAAATATTGCTGTGACTCATCCCTGTGGTACAGAAGAAGGAAACTGAACTGGACACTCTCACACCTTTAAGACCATATTGCCCCTTTCCTCCACCCTAATGTCCCTTGGGAGCTGTGGTACGAAGGGAGAAGAGTAAAGCCTTCAGAAGAAGGAACAAGACCCTTGTCAGAGCCTGCACTGCTGTGTATGGACACAAGAGCTGGGTGGGCTCCAGTCTTGGATTCTTTCTGCTCCAAATGCTTGTAACTTGGGTTGTGCACAGAAGATTGCTGTACCCATCAGATAGAGCCAGCCACTACTGCCTGAATGCTCACAGCATCACCTCAGCCTCCTACATTCCTGGTAGCAGGGGATGGGCATCATACTGCAGAGGCAAGGATAGCTCTGGAGAATGGCCAGGCAATCCCCAATTAGCTGTTAAATTAAACAGGCAAGGAGGGAATCATCTCCTTAAGGCATCTGTCCCACACTGCCCGCAGCCAGCAGGGAGCCCTCGGGCTGGCAGTGCTGTGAAAATCCAGCTGTCTGTGGAGTCCTGTGCTCAAAAAGAGACCAAATAAAACCCACAGGAGTGAGGGGAACCAGGCTGGGCAGCCTGGCTGTGGCCCAGGGCATCAGCAAGCCTGCTCAGTGACCTCTCTGCAGGAAGAAAGGCCAACCACACCTGAGCAAAGTGTGCCTGTCCCCAAGCTCAGAGCCACCGCAGCTCCTTCCCCAAACAGCAGTGGGTGAGAAACAAAATAAATATCCCTCTGAAATCAGATTATTTCCCATGACATGCTACAATACAAGTACTAAGTGCAGCTTCTGTGCTCTAGAACAGTGATGTCTTCTACAAGGCGAGAAGGGAAACTTGTCCCCACATCCCCGTCTTCCTCAGCCTACGCATGCCAGCGTGAACAGTCAGCCCAGCAGGTTTCACTCGCTTGTGCGGGTTTTCAAGACACTGGGGTGTGTGGCAGGGAAGGGACAGACCATGTGGGAAGTGTGCAGCCCCTGGGCACCTGCTTTGGAGTTGAACACCACAAGCAAAGCCCTTTGCAGCTCCTGTGGGGTTACTGGGACTCGCTGACACTTCAGCCACCATTCGGGGCAGCTGTTATCCAGACCACGTCAGCTGGTGGGACAAGAGCAGCTCAAGCAATACAAATTCCACAGTCAAAACCAATACAAGTAAGAAACCAAACCCAGAGAGATCTTTCTGCTCCCTCCTGGAACAATGGCTGCCTTGGAAAACTGGACTCCAGGATTGTCCCGATTACATCAGTTAGTGTATTATAAACATTGTCCTGCTTTAAAATGAAAATACTGTGTCTGGTTTTTTAGAGGTGCTAAAGCCAGATGTGGTATTGTTTTTCCTGACTGTGCACAGGAGATGATACTGGCGTGAAATGATCCTCTTCACCTCTTCTCTATCAGAGCTTCTCCTGGAAGAAAAGAGACTTAGTTAAGCAATATGTGAGCAAGCACAGAGGTCTTTTTACAGAAGAGGAAACTGAGGCACAAAGTGGAATGCCACCAGACCTGCCAGACCCACTGCTCTGCCCAGTAAGTCACACTCCGTCTTCCTCAGGCTGGCCATCCTGCCTGTGAGGAGATGAAGTCTGAGGCTACAGGTCTTGCCCTACATGATGAAAACTGTCAGGACACCAGGACAGCATGTCCCACAAACGCCACCCATGTAAAGGGGATGGCAGAGATCTGAGATGGAGCAGGTTCTAGCTGGAGCTGCCAGGAGAAGAGTCAATACAGGCACTGACCCAGGAGACTGACTAGAAACTCCCTCCCCACTGCTTCTCCCATTGCACTTCAGCGTGCATCTCACTAGCACCTTCCTGATGGCTTCATGTGGTTTGAATAAGGTGAGATTCCCACCATGCTTGGAACTGGAATTGTGCAAAGCCCCTTGTTTTCACTGTGGGAATGACACAGTCAAGTTTTGCTGGCAGAACTGTCTCCATCCAAGAGCTGTCCTCAGCACAGCAGGCAAGAAATCACATGAAGCGGTCACTGTTTTAAATAATACTCTGCCTTGAACTTACCTCTTGCTTGTGGGGTTTATCCTGCTGGTGAATCCCGTTAGCAGACCCAGAATTTCCAACAGTCTGCAATGGAGAACAGACAAGACTTACTGAAGAGGGACACAGAGCCTGGTGGTTTTGCCTACAAGCACCGAGATCTGGCAAGACTGCCATCTTCTCCTTCCTCAGCAGCCCACTCCACACAAGGAAAACACAGAAATCCCACCCCACTTTTGACAAGAAGCTTCCTGCTCTCTGCATCCTGGCCTGATCTCCACATGCTGGATTACATCCTGCCCCCGAGTTCCTTATGGACACAGACCCTCTCTTCACTTCTGATTCTTAAATCCAGATAAACAAACCCTCAGCCAAGGGCAGCATTAGCTGCAAAACATGCCACAGTGAACATCCCAACAGTGAAAAGGACATTTGCCATTCCCCAGTTCCCATCTCTGGGGACAAGCCTGGCAGTCAGGACTGGCTGTTCTATCTTGAGAAAGCACAAGAACTTTTAAACATTTATAATGTTTCTTTAGCAGGGATAATATGGAGCCTTTCAGCTTCAAAATGACAGTACCACTGGCACAAACAAGAGAAGCTGCAGCCTGAAGTCACAGCATGCCAGATGTCAGTTGCTCGGGTCTTGGTAATCAGATTCACAGTTGTTGGTGAATTGCTGATGGCAGCAAACCCAGACATTATGGGGAGACAAGACTGCAAGGTTTAAAACCCATCATTAGAGGAGTCCCAGCTACCACCTTACCGTGACCATGAAGGTGCATAATCAACCCTACGGGACAGAGGTTTAGTTTGGGCAGGAAAAACAGGCAGAGATTCAAACTGAGCTCTGCTTTAAGCACCTGAACTGTTTGCCAGGCAGCGAATCCTACCTGGATGGATGGCAAGACCAGTGCTGCTGTAGTGACTCACCTTTGGGGGCTGCACCCACTACCACAGGTGATTCAGGCATTGCACAAGGCAACGTATCCTACCCTGGCTGCAGCACACCCAATCTGTGCACTAAGCAGCTATCAGATACCAGGAATTAGGTTTGAAATTTGGTCTCAGTACATGGTCATGATAACGAACAAGGTGGTGCAATTCACTTGAAATTAAATAAAACAGCTCCCAGAGCAATCACTGAAAATTCTCCAAGAAAAAGGGCTGAATGCCAAATCCTTGTCATTTCCTGCAAAACTGCGAGATCTCCAAGATATGGAGAAAGCAAAGCTCCTCTTCCTCTATGACAGGACAAATAATTTGCAGCTGCAGGCATGGAAACAGCAAGTCAGCAATTACTGGACAATGAGATGAAGACAACAGTGCCATTACACTCCCCAGCTCCCGTGTCTCGTTGTCGAACAGCAAAGCCAGCCACGCAGATCAAGGACTGCAGAGTGTGGCGGCTGATGGAGCCTGCGAAGGGAGAGCAGCAGCTTGTGGTAATTAGAGATTTCCTTCTCCAGCGTGCTGCAAGTGAAGGCTTCACAGACAAAGGGAGAGCAATGCCAAGGCAGATCCCTGGGCAACAGCTGCGGGTGTCAGAGCAGAGATGGGAGGTCAGAAGGTAGCGCAGAATGGGTTACAGAGGAAACGTGGCTTCTGGGGAAGCAACATCAATTCCTTCACTATTGCACCAGGATTTCTTCAGGCCAGCAATGTCCTCAGGCTCAGCCTGAAAGCTCCTGCTTAACAACTCCTCTTCATAAGGGGAAGGATGAACAGATATCATACTGAAACGAGGGAGCTTTGATCCAGACTTCCTTGTAACTAGGCACTTTAAAACTCTGACATCAATAGAAGTTTGAAGCCTACCTTGCTGCAGTAATCCCCTCCGCCTGTCTCTCAGCACCACGGTTTGTAGTTGAAGGTATAATACTATCTTGTTGTATCTCCAAGATTTCTCAAGCATGAAAGTATCAAAGTATTACCAGAGGTAGATGAGCTGACCTCGCAAGGTCTATTCCAACCCACTTTATATAAGATCAGTTATCTTCTCCGGCTGGGGAAGAAATAATTACCACCTGCCCCACCTCTGGAGACAGGAATGTGAAAGGGAAGATTTCCTTTTCTCAAGGGACTCTGCATTAAAGCAAACAGAGAATAACTTTCCCCACCCCTCCCATAGTTTCCAACAGATGAGGTTGTCACGATGCATTTTCATTTGACACATGGCAATTACAGCAGAAGCTAAAGTCACTCTAGAGGTACTGACAGGATTATAGTCAGTCTTGGACTGCCACAAACTTGTCATCACGACCACAGCTGTCCTGTCTGGTGCTGGCAGAGGGCTGCTGCCTCTGCACTGCGGGATATAGAGACTTGTCTGCAACACACAGATGCTCAGCTGAGCCAGCAGAGCTTCCAGGGCTGCAATTTTTCCCTGTGCACCCTCCTCCTGAATGCCCTCCTGCAATACTGCTGCAATGCAAATAGCCGCTTGGCCTACTGGCAAACTGTGCAGGAGACGGGAGGAGAAGACTTGATACCCCCCAGATTACCTACCACAACATACCTGCGTCAGGGACAAGAAACTCTCTAGCCATTCTCTGTGTCTAGTGGCTTGTTCTGTACTATCCTAAGGTGTCTGCTTAAATGTGAATTGGAGCTCATTACTGCAAGAGAAAGACCTTTTTCAGGTAAGAATTTAAATGAGCAAGGACGAGAGGAGCACTGGCGCATCTCGGTTCTGAAAGGCATGACCCAGTTGCAGACACAAGAGAAAATACAGCTAGAAGAGCAATAAAGGACATGAAGCACAAAGCTTGGCACAAAAGGCAGGTCACTTCACAGGAGGAATCAGTCAGGGCTTTGACGCCACAGGTATGAGATGGAAAAAGCCAAATGTGGAGAGTTAAGTTATCTGCAGCCTTCAATTTCACAAAGAAGGATCTAAGACAAACAACAGGAGCAGTTTTGCTTTTGTCAGAAGAAACAAAGGGAGACCAGAGAAAGTTGGGAAGAGAATACAGTAACTGGAATGGGACCATTCATGGTCTATCAGCAAACCCAGATCAGATACAGAGATGCCTCCAGGAGGTGGTAAGAAAAATGGAAAACATTTTCCCAGAGTCACTTCTAAAGTTTCTGCTTATGGACTGCAAGAAAATAAACCTCTCAAAGAACAGGGATGCCAGAAACCCTCAACTTTCATACTCTAAAGCACCTGTACCACAAGGATATGCGGCCACACGTCGTTTTACACAGAGACCACTCACACTGCAACCTTCTCCAAAACACCACATTCAGCAACCATTCCTGCAGGGCACGAAAGGATCCATAATTACCCACTAGCAAGGCTTTTCTTAGTTTTAACCTCCATCTGACAGAACAAAGTCTTGCTGGGCTGTTCCCAGCAGAGAGAAAAGGACCCAGCTGACTTGACTGCATCACCCCCACAGCAAAGGGCGAGATCCCAGGAGGTTACTCCAGACAGATGACCACCGAGTGCTGAGTGACCCAAGAAATGATTGCTGATGCTCTACCTGTGTTCTCTCGGAGGAGAGCCTCATGGCTTCCATGAGCTTCTCCATCTGGTGTCCCTGCTCCAGCGCATTGCGCAGTACATCCTCCGTGCTGACGAGCCGGTGCTGCAGCCGGATCACTTCTGACTCTGACGAGGGGTCGATCAGGGAGTATCGCCGCTGATCCGTTACTGATTTTTCCTTGTCCTTATACAGCAAAGGGAAAACAGGAGCATGTTAAATGAAAGCCAGTAACTACAGAAATGAGCAAAGCATAAATCCCCAGTAACTCCTATAACTGTGTTTTGATTTCAACAGTAGATGGGGTCAGAGTACAACTCTGAAGGCAATCCTATCAAGTGCAACCAGCAGCAGCTCCAGTTTGTTGCCAGCAGAGTTCAAATAAATTATTCACATTTCAACCACTGGAGGACACTGAAGTACACAGGAATTAGAGGACATTGCTTATTCCTGCATCACAGAATGTATAAAACAATGCAAGGTAGTGGACCCACCTTCAGTTTCTCCCACAAATTTTATCCCTATTTAGCCATGGATCTAAAAATTGTGGGACAGAGGAACACTGGAGAAGGACAGATGGACATTTCTGCTGCTTAATGAGATGCCACTAAGCCAGGCCACAGCTCACAGGCACTGCCAAGGAAGCTCCCACCAGATGCTCAGTAGTACAAAAGAAAGCAGGAAGACTTGGAGCAAGGGAGAAGGGCTGGGACCCCCCCAGGAGCAGCACAGAGCCCTCCATCCCCCGGCCAAGGCCAGAAGGGGTTTTGGTGCCCTCACCAGCACAACCAGTTTCTCTCGTAGCCCCTTGATGTCATCTTTGAGCTTCTGTTCCTTCAGTCGCCACTCGGCTTTGTGTACTTCCCGGCTTAGGTCCCGCTCTGGCCCAGGCGAGTGCCGGTTCGCCTCCAGTAACAAGGCTCTCAGCTCGTTCAGGCTCCTGGAAGAAGCAGCATGAAATGGTGAAGACATTTCCAGCGTCCACATACCACTGGATATGCTCCCTCCCACCTTAGCTACAGATCCAAAGAAAGCCAGTGAGCAAACCTGACCCAAATCCCACCACTTCAGGGGCTTCAGATCTTCTGTCCTCCCTGCTGTGCCAGCTTGAAAGAGTCTGGGAGCTGCACAGGGCACCGTATTTCAGAGCAGGGCAGCAGCCAGCTTAGCTGGCTTATAGTTGACTTCATTCAGCATCTATGTTGGCACTGAGCTGTCTTGCAGCTCCTGGCAAGCAGTGAAAGGCCAGTGCCTTTGATAATTCACAGCTCCTAATTTTAACCAGATTCCCACATGAGCAGCAATAAAGAACAGGAAAGCTGAAGGCTGGACTTCAACAATTCAACCTCTAGACTTGTTTTGGTGGCAGATTACAGCACCCTGAGCACACACAGAGCCCCCTGTCTCCAGTTCCATCCTTCAGATCTGCAGACTGACCTTTCCTTCTTGAGTAGCTCCTGGCTAATCAGGACCAGTTGCCCTGAAGCATCGTGTGTTTTCTTGGTCAAGGCTTCCAGTTCACCTTCCAGCCTCTTCTTTTCTTTTAACACCGAATCGGCCTTCTTTTCTGCTGTTTTGCATTTATTTTCCAAAGCTACGAGAAGCAGAGGACACAGGGGAAAGAAAGGTCACTTAGACCTTTACTTACAACCTTGCTTTTTGCCTTTTCCCAGTTCCCACTCCTAACAGCACAGACCTGGTTAGCTCTGGATCTGGCCCTGTTTAAGGAGAGATCTCAGAAACAACACACGCAGCTCCATTTACTGCTGCCTCTGTCAGCTTCTGACATTCAATGAGCCCAAACCCTCCCTCACAGGATACAAATATCTTCTGCAGTGTTTGCATTCAACTCCTGAGAAGAGAATGAAGCTCCTGAACAACTTTTTACCAACAATATCCATTAAAAGACAGGCAGTGTCATGTTTTACATGGATGAGCAGGGAAACACCTCGTTCCCACCAGCACTGGATTAGGGAAACTTACCACTTACTTGGGCCCTTAGAGTTTCAGTCTGGGACACCAGTAATGACACCTCTTTGTCTCTTTTACTCAGCTTGTCTTGGAGGTCTGTGAGAGAATGGAAAGAAAAGATAAATATTAGAAGCCTGGAAAATGCTTTGTGCAAATCAGGAAGGTATTGAGTGTACAGCACAGGTCAGGGTGTGACAGGGGCGTGGTGGTGGTACTCTCCATCGGCAGAGGAGCAGCAGGAGACAGGTAACGGGTGTTTTTTCACTACATCTCACCACCATCCAGGCATTAGGAGGCAAGATACACAGCTGGGAAGCCATATCAGACAGATTTAAGAAAGTAACCACAAAGGGTGGGGATAAGGGGGAAAAAAAAAGGAAATAAAACATTAATAAAATGCACAGAAAGCATCTTTCAGCACTTTTCTTTGTGTTACCTCCTGCGCTGGAAGGCAGAGACAGTTTTTAAAAGACATGTTTTCTGATGTATTTCCAGACTCAAACAGAGCTATAGATTTGAAGTATGATGTTTTTGTGGCTCAAGTCTGAACTGATTGTTTTTAGTGCAACTATATATGGCTTATTCAGTGTGAAAACAACACACACATGGACTGAGTGGCCTTTTTAAGAGCAGTGGCTGCCGGAACTAGCTATGCTCTGCCCTCACCAGGCAGGAATTACCTGTCAATAGTGTACAATTTGGTATAGCACATATGTAATCCTTTACTTTCAAAGACAGTGATGAGGCCGACTGACAATGCCCAGCTAGCACGGAGAGCAGATGGAAAATGGACAACACACCTCTGTCTGAATTCACCAACAGCTGGAGGGACACTCCAACTAAATGAAGTTTCTACTCAGTGAAGTTTCAGCCAGGAGAAGTCCCCAATAACCTCTGTTTAGGCTGCTATATCCTCAGCAGGACTTCAACAAGGGCTTTGCAGAGTGTGTAACACAAGTAAAAACATCTGGCCCTGCATACGCTCAGACAGATCAGAAGACAGGAAATCCAAACATCAAATACATCCAGCAAAATGTGAGAGGTGAAACAGCTTCCTAAGCCCCTTCCACACAGCCATTCCTGCAGGAGCAGAAAGTTAGAGGAAGGCATATGAGTCACTGAAACAGGGTGTTCCAAGAAAAAAACAGTAACATTTCATACCTTCCATAGTCTGCTTCATCTTTATCTTTTCTTCCGAAATATCATTAGTTTCAATCATCTGAAATAAATGTAAAATAAGAGATGGAAGACAGCCTTTTACCTAAAGATTCAAAACACAGTTAACAACCACAAAGCCCCACCCAAAGCAGAAGCGTATCTGGTACCCAAGTTACGATGTTTTACATCCTTCCTGAGAGGGAAACAAAGGCTTTTCAGGAGTCACTTCTACCTCTGGGTACTACTGAAGACTAACAGGTACCATCTGAGGGTGCCCACACACAACAGGCAGCTGAGCACAACACTGAGATTCACCCAGGAGGGATCAGACTTTCCCCACAAGCTCTGGTCCCAGCTGTCACACACTCAGAGTGTGCGCAGAGCGATGGAAGAGCTGTTTTTCTTTGGACCAGTCTCCTGTGGTTAATCACAGCAAATATTCAGGTGCAAATACCTCTAGTATTAAAGTTATAAAAACAGTAATAAAACTTGATAAAATAATAATTATTAGGGAATGAATACATTAATAAAAAGCAAAGGCTGGTTCATATAGAGGATTCTGCCTTCTCCCCATCCTCTTCTGGCTACACTGCAATGAAAAGCCAGAGACCACAGAGCTCACAGCCAAGCTTTCCACTGCAGAGGCCACAATTCAGCTCTTCAAAAGCCTCTTCATGTCCAGCAGCCTTTGGTGGGACCTCAGCACATGCAGTTGCTGTGGCCACCACTGCTGAAAGCGCCGAGGTCAGTCCCCAAGAGCTTGAGTGGGCTGCAGGATACTTCTAACAGAAGCAGGAGCACACCCAAAGGGGAAATGTACTGCCTGATGGACTTCTAGTATGAAAAAACACTATTTAACTGCTCTTTGGAAGCACAGTTGTGGTTCTCATTTGAAGGTCTAGGAAAGATGGTCACAAGACACACTTGTTTGTTTAAAATATTTGGATAGTTAATACTGCAGTCACATTAAATTAGCTAAGACATTATAAAATAGAATTTGCTCTGTGATACTCAAAGGTTTTTCACCCATGCATTTCATCCCACATTCTCCTGATTTTAATCGACACATAGTTAAAATAATTATTTCAAGACTCCCTGGTTCTAATCCAGTATCAATGTCCCCCAGAGCTCTTTCATTTATTTGAAGGGCTCTGGAAAAAGCCTCCAGCTTCTTCTTTTACATTCATTCCTGTTTGAATATTGGCTATAATAAGTGACATGTTGTAATAACAACTCACTTTTCCCAGGGCTCTGGCTGTACTTATTGTTCACAACTGTTTTTACTAGATGAAACATGTTGAGCAACCCTTGAAACACCATTAATGCTGTAGAGTCCTCCTTGGGCTTTTGCCTCTCCTGTCCCGTTCATCGTGCCTTTTAGCAGGCACAGAGCTCTGGCTTGGCCAACAGTAATTAACGGGCTTGACTTTGCAGTCTAAAGGTGCAACCAATTTCAGTGGGTCTGTCCATGTTGGCAAATTAAACATAGGCATTGTATTCACTTCACTGGCACCAGTCTGGAACAGTGACTAATCACCAGTGATACATTTCTAATTAGTGCACATTTTGTGGCTTATTTTCATTTTCTGCATTCCCACAGGGACAAGTTGTAAGTTGGCTTTTTGCTCATTTCTCATGCAAAATCCAGACACAAATAGGGGTCCAGTCTAGAGCCACGAGCAGCAATCTCTCCTCATCACTCTAGTGCAAAGCCAGCCACGTGTCCCTGTGCCAGGCACAAAGGGAGGATGGCACGTTGTGTCAAATAGTAAAAAAAAAAAACCAATAAAAAATGAGGGTGACTTAAAAAGACACAAAGGCCACAGAAAACTGACCTCTTCATATTATTACTGCTCTTATTCTAGCCTTCCCTGGGAGGCTCAGGGCTCATATTCAATGGGGCATTTTATTTCCCCAGCCTGGTGCCACCCTGACCTTTGCCAGCCACTCCTCCACTATAAATCCTCCCAGTCAGCATTGCCCCATGTCTCCTGTCCAGGCTGCAAAGCCTCCCTGCTGCCTCTGCCACATCCCACCCAACCCCATCACCTCAGCCCCCTCACCGAGGCTCCCAAACCACGTGCTGAGCAAGCTACGTGCTCTACCTCAGCATGGGCAATGACTCATCTCCCACCCTGTCCTCCACCTACCCCTAAAGGAACTTGCTCAATAATACACTGAAGCTGCTGCAGCTCCTGGGAGGACAACAGCTATAGTGTAGAAATGATGTTTTTTCAGCTAAGAACGCTGCTTGCTCAGGATGAGAGCCCACCCCTGACAAACCATGACAACCATGGCGCCACAGCACTCATGTGCCTTCAAACCCAGATGTGATTCACTCGCTTCTCTTATTTCCTCTAATTGTGCCACTCTACTGGTTTTCAGTAGTGGGAAGACACCTTCAGCATGGAGATGCAGCGCAGAAAAAGCACTATCAATGGAAAACAAAACCATCCAGATACTTTGAGGCCTAAAAGCCTCAGAAAACTGCACAAGGCAGCAGCCGAGAGCTACTCCTAGGAAGGGTGACTAACAGTGATGAGAAACAAGCAAAATGACCCAGAAGTCATACATTTGCATGCTGAGAAGGATGCAGGGCCTCCATGGACTGCAGCTTGTTCTCTAAGACAAGCACTTTTTCCTGCAATCTGTGGATCTCCTGTTTGCTCTGGGCTTCTGTCTTCTGTAATGTTTCATAGTCCAACATCTTCTTCTCAGCCAAAGAAATCTGCTCTTTCAAGAAAGCTATTGCTTGTGCCTGATCTTTATATTCACCATGAAGTTTCTCCAGTTCATGCACCCTCAGCTCAGCATCTCGACACCTGTCCTTCACATCTTGGAGCTCAAGAAGGTGCTGATTGCTTTTGGTTTCCAGTTGCATTTTCCAGTCGCTGTTGTTTTTTTCCAGCTCATCCACAGCCTCCTGCAACTTCAGTTTGAGACTTTCTTTCTCCTTTATATGAACAGCTGTCTCAATGTCATGCTTTGCTTTCAGGTTCTCCAACTCAAGTTGGTGCTCCATCTTTATACTCTCCACCACTGCCTTCAGTTCCACAATCTCCTTGTGCTGGGTGTCAGGGCCTGTGTTCAATGTGGCTTTGAGGTCCTCCAGAGACTTCTGGTGGTCAGAAGCTAACGTGTCCAATTTGGACTTCCAGTTGTCCATAAGCCCCATGTTCTCATTAGTGGCTTGCTGAACTTTATGCTTTAGGTCAACGATTTCCTGTGAATACTTCTCATTGACAGCTTTCAGCTTCTCCATCTCCTGCTGGTACTTCTTCAACGTCTTCTCGTACTTCTCCTTTAGCTGGCTGCTCTCCTTCTGATGCTCCTTGTTGGCAGACAGCAATTGATCTCGTAGACGAAGAGCCTCTGACTGTAAGCCAAGGTTATGCTCAGGGGTCTCTGCTTGGTGAGAGCTCCTGAGGCACTGACGAAGTTCATCCACCTCGCTGCGCCTGAGGCTCAGCTCCTCCTCCAGCTGCAGGATTCTGGACTTCTCCGCTACCGTGGTTAACTGCAACACGACAGAGAAGACAAAGTCAGTCCCCACCTCTCATTGCTGCATCCTTCCTTTTAGTAAGTGTGCTCCAGTGGAAGTAAATCCAAAGTACATTAGTCAAAGTTCAAATAAACAGGAAAAGAAGACCCAGCACCCTCCAAATTGAGTACAGTTTTGCACCAGGGTAACTATCACCAGTAACTCTAACAGTTACATCTTAGTGCCAATTGCAATTTGATTTTTCTTAATGTGAACCTCTCATTTTCCACAGAGTAACACAAATCTTTGAAACAACCCTTCAAATGCACTAGAAAGCAACAGTGGTTTATGAAAAATAATGCCCTGAAAGGGTGTTACGTTTCCAGACGAGGCATCTGGCCAGATGATGCACAGAGGCAATGTGACTGCACATGCAGGAATACCACAGGCATTGAAACCAGCATTAAGCACATCATGTTTCCTTTATTGCTCAGCAATCCTCGGCCTACAGACTTCTCTCCTGCACTGTAATTTGTTTACCCTGGTGTAAAAGGGATTTTTACACATGAGTACTTGTTAGAGTTTATTAGCAAAGTGAAAATAAGGTAGAAGGCAAGACAATAAATCTGGCCATGGTTAACACTGAGCATAAGGGCAATGGATCAATGTCTTGCGATCTGAATGTAATCTAACGGGGCTGAGCTACCTGCTCGTCAGACTTCAGGGTGCTGGAGCTACAGATGGAGAAGAGATTTGACTAGACAAAGTATTAGAAAAAGGCAGAAGAAACAAGGAAACCAAGTGGATCTTCCAGTGCCAAAACACAAGTGATTAATTCCATATCACATCAATTGCCATTTTCCCCACTAACCAGCAGCCCAGGGGCTGGGTATTTTTTATTTTAAATGGGGCATTCAAACTATTTATCCCTTTTGGAGAACCTCATGCTTGTGTTTTCTACAGCTCTAACAAAACCATTGGTGAGGAACAAGCTCACTGTAGGCAAGTTTGCCGTTTCCCACACCAGGAAAAGCCCTTCCCACATCTGGCTGGTTTTAGGATCGGGTGCGTTGCTCATCTGGGCAGCCTGCCCTGTTGTAGATACGGCCAGGGATCAGAGCTGGTCCACCTGCACTCACCAGTATCTTCCAATTCAGATGGCAGCTCCCACAGCTGGAGGGAGGACAAAGGGAATGCTGATTGCAATGTTATTTTTCTTTATTACAGCCTGGGGGAGCCTTGAGGCAGAATAAATTGTGCAGGATGCAGATATTATTTGGGCACGTTAATTGGAGGATGAATTGTGAAGAGCTCATGTGTCAAATGGTGGCATGGGGCAGAGAAGCAAGCTCAATCTGAGAAACAAGTCCCCACACAAGAAGCAAAGCTAGAAATAATATCGTACTACCATTTCCAGGAGAGAAAGCAAAGTAAAAAAAAAAAAAAAAAAAAAAACAAACGAAAAAAAATCAGGGAAGCCTAAATTCAAGCCAAAACCAAACAACCCCACAAACCAAAAAAACCCCAATAATAAAGAAACCCAAAGCAAGGCATCATGAGCATCAACGCAGGGGGCAAGCAGGCTGTTCTGCAGGCAGGGCAAGTGGGGGTCGATTACCCTGGTGTCCTCTAATTCTCTGAGGAGTTTTTCAGCCTGTGCCTTCTCAAACAGCAGGCTCTGCTCGAGCTCCCGTATTCGGGCATGCTCCAACTGCGTCTGAGTCTGGTCATACAGAGGGAAAAAAGAACAGTGGAGATGGGAAAAGGGGAAAAGGGAGAGAGAGAGAGAGAGAGAGAGAGAGAGAGAGAGAGAGAGAGAGAGAGAGGAAAGAGAAGGCTGCAACATCATCTTCAGTGTACAAGACAAGGAAAGGCAGTTCACAACAGGAGGAGAATAAAGATCCAAACAGGCAGGAAAAATCCAACCAAACAGAAAACGGTCACTACGGGATTTTACATGGTACTCGTGGTGGCCATTCACAAGGAAATGGAATCTGCGATGGGAAAACATCCCTCTGCATTACAGAGCTGCTTCAGTGTTTTCCTGCATCAAGACTATCCTGAAGACACCTCCTAAAAAGCAAAGCTCCCAGCGCTGCAGATCACCAGTACAGGACCCTTGCACCACGCCAGAGAATGCAAAGACCTTGCAATGCTTCTCTGCATCTCTCCTCAAGAAGAATCACAAGGTAGACTGAAAAGAGTTGGAAGTTCCCATCCTCTTTTTGCTCCAGAGACTGCTCAAACCCTGCACTAGGTGGGCAGAAAAAAAAGCAGGTCACACTGTACACAGCATGTGGCTAAAACCCAAAATACACTGCACTGAAACCAAATCAAAGAAATTTAGATACTAAACTGCTCCATACATCAGTTCTTTGCGTTTGAATAAGGCTGCTAGGAATTTCCAAGTGATTTTTTGCACACTCAGACTCTAATAGCTTTCTACACAAAACAGAATTATATTTTTGGTTTGGTTTTGCTCTTTTGTTTTTTAAACAGACGAGCAAACTAAGCACAAGAAGTTGACATAACCTGCCAAATCCAGGAGCACTGACTCAGGTCACTGCTTTGGTGCCCTTCCCTTTTAAAGCAGAAGTCCCATATAGCTGCAGGTGGCAGCAAACCTCAGGACTCTACAACAACCACTGTAATATCATGTAAAATTTCCCATAAATAAAAGAGGAGAGGAGACATGGCAAAATGCATGCAGACTCTGGTCTTTGCATTTTTTTTAGCTTACAAACCCAACATTTTCCTTTGAATTAAACTGAACCTACTGAAAAACAAACCCAATTAGAATCTTTTTTTTTTTTTTTAAATCCCCATTTTCTGCCCTTCATTTTCCATACAATTATTTGCTTCCCCTTCTTTCTATTGGAATCAGTTTTAGATATTTTCTTGCTACCATAAAGCAAGTTTTGGTTAGTTGCATACAAAGGATGGAAACTGAAGTTTGTAAAAATCTATGTTTTCTCTAATGGCTTGAGAGGTATCATTATACATCTGTTCATAGATGGTCAAGATCTCAACTGCCAGATGTATTCAGACTACTCCATATTTTATGTGGTCTATTTGACCCCTGAAGGAGTCAAAAAAAAAAAAAAAAAAAAAAGTGGTCTTAAAAACCCAAACCATTATCAAAACCCTCAAATAATACCACTGAAGTGCAAAAGTTGGTTGAATGCAACCTAAGAAGAAAAATAAAGAAATTTAGTTTTGCACTGCGTGGCTTCTGGTCTCTGTAAAGCTCAAAGATCCACATCTCAAGATGGAGGTCCAGGCTTGATTTTATTTACAGGGATAATTATCCCATTGATACTAATGAATTTTTCTCAATTTACACTAGCTCAAAATCCCCCAGTGAAACTTCAGCAATATAAACTTTTGAAATTACCTGAACTAGTGGCAGCATGTCAGATATTGGCTACCTGAAGACGCTGATCTATTACAAAACTAATCTCTGAATTTCCCAAAGAAACTATCTCAAGATTCCTGAGGTTGACACTCAAATTGCCAGTCAAGTTTGCTGAGTATCTACCAATCCTGCTATTTTGCAAGTCTGGGAAAACACATGAAAATTAAGGAGAAAAATAATCAGGGAATAAAGTTAGATCAACTGTTTTACAGTCCTTAAACACAACTTCACTGAAGATTCACATCAAGCCCCGTGTTATTTCTTATTTTATGCAAATTGGTTTGCCTAGCCAGTGTGACTCAGAGCTTCAGATTCCAAGTTTTCCTGCACTTTGAGGAAATTCAGCTCTGAATTTTTGACTTACTTCTTGCTATTAGCCTTAAATGACTATTCACAAATTACAAACTGACTTCCCACTGGCGCTCAAGATATGAGGTAGGTTCCATGAGGCAAGTATGAGATAGTTCCTTGAAGAGGTTAATACTTCCACAGTCTTCCACCATAAAAAAAGCCTTTCTTAAAAGGTTTTGTTTTCTTGCAATTGCTTTTCACCTTCCAAAGCACTATAGGATCAGCGTTGCCAAACAGGATCAAAAATGGGTTAAATTTACAACTACATTTCGAGGCTAAATCTGCAGCTCCTCCCTCTTTATCAGAGGTTCAAAAACTGGATCCGTATCTCCAGGCTTCATACACATTGATTTCTTTGGTCAAAGAACTTCCAGGGATGCTGCCTACCACACTCACCACCTGAGAGTCCCAGCTTTGGTCAAAACCTACATTATATTATGAGAAATACCATGGGATTTAGCCTGGCCTTCAGCAGAAACCCTAGATCCAGGGAGCACAGAGGAGATAATATTTTCTTACCATCATGTCTGTTCCTGTTAAGTGCAAGATAAACATTCTCCTCTGAGAAGAGGGCTGTTGGTGTAAGAGGACGAGACCAGAGGAAGGGTGACAACTGTCACTGGGTTTTGCTTTTGGTATTTGGGAGGTTCTCTGAGCTCTAGCTAGGGATGCAAAGGGCTGTGCTAGCAGCCACTGGTTGACTTCCTTGTGATTTTACATGAAGATCACCAATGATGCCCATTTCCCAGGAAACATACTGCAGCAGGAAGGAGCACTTATCTCCCTGACTGCCAATGAGAGATTTTTTTCTTTAAGTCAATTACTTGCTTCTGGAAATCCTGTCTCCACAACAAAGCAGGAAGGTAAGAATTAACTCCAGTGGGTCAATCATTTAGTCTGAGCATCCAAATTAGACAGGACAGAATCAGAATGTAAAAACTGGCCACAGCAAAGCCCTCTGAGAGTGTCTGTGCTGTCACTGACCCGTGGGGGAACATCACGGTTCTCTGGATCACAGGAAACCAAGCTGCTCCATGACTCTTCCCTAGGAAGTTTTTTGTTCTTCTGTACAGATGAACATGGAAACAGGGACAGGACCCTGGCAGCTTGCAAGAAGCTTGGCCACATCCCCATTGAAAAGCAGCTCCTTCCCAGCCCAAATGAAAATTAGATCCATCCTCAGTTTGGGACCTGCAGTTATAGGAGCACCTAATGTCACAACAGCTTAACATCTTGCCCAAACATGGTGGTTGGTTTTTTTTTTTTAAATATACCTAAATGTACCTCCAAGTTAACCCTGGTCCCATTGCCATTACTCCACAGCCAGGCTTAAACATTTGCAGCTTACACAGGGAGAATTCCTTGCTCTGAAAGGGAATGATGGATCAGTCATCCTTTTCTGAAGCACTGGGGAAAGCCATCATCTAAGCTCAGGAAACAATCGAAACTTGATTTAGCACCCACACACTAGGCAGAAACTGCACTTGCTGTCCTGTAGCAGAGGTCTGTTATCAGTGCATTGCTGATTTATACACTGCCAAACACATGACTGCTTCAGCTTCTGGATAAAGAGGAGAGGTTTATGCCACGAGGGCCAAAGCCATAACAACATTCTCCATTGCCTAGTTTTCTCATTTTCCTGGGCTTTTGTTGATATGACTGACAGTGGAGCACAGCAGCAGGTCCCTTGACGTTTCTGGCTGTTACTTACTTAGCACTCTAGCTAAAGATAAGAGAAAGTCATGATTTACACATGGAGAACAGAGCTTTGCTTTCACAGAAATATTTTCTTTTCCTTTTTTTCCCCCCCTACAGAAAAGCCTCCCACTCAAGGGTAAGCTCCCAACAGCACTTCCAATTTGCACAATATTCAGTGCAACAGCATCGCTCTGAGCAAGAGCCCTCCCATATGAAAGGGTATCCTAGTGTCAAACCCCACACTCGTGGGCAGAGGACTCCACAGGAGGGTACTGCAGGTCAGATGATACATGGTATCTTGGCTGGAATAGAATAGCATCCAACTGGGAGATTGCACATGCTAATTAGCTGCTAATAACAGGACACTGCAGGGAGAGTGACTGAGCAGTCAAGTCATTTCTACAGTGGAAAAACATATGTTGAAATGCATTCAGATACAGACAGATTTTATCATGGCTTGGCAACTCATGGCAACATTTAAAGCCAGGCTGGCTGCATGTGATTAATTCTAGGCAGCTCCTAGCATTATTAGTCATTGGGCAACATACCAAAGAAGAATCTTCACAGTTCATACCATGGTGTTTGCAGCAGGTCCAAAGCCATCAATAAAGATAATGTATTGTGTGGAGTTGAGCAAATGGTGGCAGAAATTACTCAGGTGAGGCCCCACATGCAGGTTTTAACCCCACATTTTGGTGAGGGTGTTAGGAATTACCTCCAGATCCCCCTTCGTGATGGATTCTTCCTCCACACGGAACTGCAAGTCCTCCACTTTCCTAGGGAGGGAAAAAGACAGAAATAGCAATCAGATTGGCACCCCATTTCTAAGCAGCAATTGCACATGGGCCTCCCCTGTACAACTGAAGTCTGAGAGAAGAGGATTAGAGACAAATTTTGCATACAAACAGCTCAGCAGAAGGTAAACAGCAAGACACATGGAGCAAGACAATAAGCAAGCTTTCCACAGAGCAAACATTCACCTTCATGCAAGGTACACGCTCACAGACTTGCTGTTTCTACTGCGCCACCTCTCAGCAGGCACAACTGCTGGTCACCAACACCCAGATCCTGAAAACACGAAAGCCACAACCAGGTTTCATGGGTTTTCTTACACACTCTTATGCTGCAGCTGAGCACTGGGCAATTCCTGTGCCAACTGCATAGTGTCCATGCAAAATAATTCCATGTGAATCAGAGCCTTCTTGGCAGAGGTTGGGCAATGCTTAATGCTTCCACAACATGGAAATGGTGAGGTACACAGGCAGAAAAACCTTTGCCAGAGATTGTATAGGCCAGTGATACATATAAGCACATAAAATTCACATGCACAAATGCAGACATGCCTAGGACTCTGTGATAATTAACCCTATCCTAGGGAAAACCAGGACACACTTCTGCAAAGAGAAAATGCAGTAATGATAAAAAATAATTCAATGTTCTGCTAAACTCAGTCCTCTTTGTTCTCTTTACTGATTTAAGAAGAGTCAATAATGAGGATGTTGAGCTGGCAGCCAGACGTAAGGACTCTGATTCCGTTAGAGATAAAAATAGCTGTGAGTGTACGTATCTAACTTCATAAACAAGCTTCCTTGTCTAAAGCTCCTCTAATTAGAGGAGGCATCTGTTGATATTTAGGAAAGAACTCAGCTGTCTTGGGTTAAAGGGCCTCCTGGAGCTGGGAAAGTGAGCTGCCTACCAGGAGAAAGTGGAGACTTATGCACGAAAGAACAATTCATCCTCAGGAGGGGAATCATTCAATCAAAATCAACACTGTTTTCAGTCACTTAATACTCAGAAATGTCTTTTTATTCCCACTGAAGACTTTAATTATATATATGGAGCAGTTGGACTCCAAGAATGACAAGCACTCTTATCCAGAGAGGAAATGTATGCATCATCATATGGACGTGGATGGGGCCTCTGGGATGTGGGGAGATGATGAATCACACTACAGTAAGGCTGTACTCCAGTTTGACTTCCCTTCCTCAGAAGGAATGTCCTTAAGATCAGCACATCCCAAACAGAGAGGTAAGAAGTGGTCTTCAGCAAAGCAGGTTGTACAGAAAGGCCATGGGTCTGGGATGGCCCAACCTGCACAGCTCTGTTTATTATCCAGCACTGTTATTTTATACTGTATCCTTAGCCAAGAACATCCAAAGGCAAAGCTTTGCCATGGCCCACACCCTTGCCCTGAGTTAATCCCACCTGTACTGAGTAATTCCACTTTACAGAGTGACAGAGTTGATTTTGCTCAGAGTATCAAATCTCAGAGTAATTGGTATTACTGGAGCCCTTTGTTCCTTTAGGCAAATAATGCTCCTTCTCCCTGCTTTGTGTCGGGAACCGAACAGGGAAAATGGTTAAAAAGCATCAATAACTTCACTGCCCAGCAGGAGACCAAGACTATTTGGTCTATTTGATGTACCACTACAGGCAGTGGTAGATCAACTAGTGGGCACCATTGTACTGCCAGTGGAACATGTGCCATGGTCAAATGCCCTTGGACGTGCAAGCAGCCTGTCAAATATTTATCATGATCATCAGCCAGCACTTCAGAGTCCTAATCAGGAAAGGAAGTTGATGTTGTCTTTTTTTCTTAGTAAGTGTTACATGCATTTGGCAGGAAACTGTGTCAAATCATGAAACTCCTTTTGGCCACAAAACAGAGCTGCCCCTGACCCAGGTATGAGCTGCCCTGGCTGGGTGTTTGTATTCTGCCTTTCAGTTGCATTGTAACAGCAGGGCAGGTTCAGCTGAGCATATTAAAAAAAATCCGAGACTGCTCATGTCACAGAAATTAGCTCACTGCAACCCCACCGAATGATACAACATCGAGTCTCCTCTAAGAGCCATAAGACATAGGAATGTACCAGACTAATTGCAAACACTTCACTGTTCAGTTGGGATTAGCAGCAGTTTGTCAGCAAACGGGGGCAGTCATGGTATTGAACGCCCAACCCTAGACAACAGTCACATCAGATGTGTAAATGCAGTAAAATTTTTCTAAACTTCCCATGATCTGAAACAGCACACCCCTTCCCTGCAAGCAGGCAGACCACAGCAGCCAGGAGAGTGAGACACAGGATATCTGAAGTACTGGAAGACATCCCAAGATGACTTTCCTGGTCACTCTCTTCTCCTTAGATCCAGTGAACGATGTTCTCAGGTAAAAGCCTCATCTCCCCCATGACTTTACCTCCTCCACATCCACTCCTGCCTTACCTCTTCTCCTCTTCCAGCTGGTTCAACAGCTCAATCTTCTCCTTCTGCATCACATCCACCAGGGCACGGGCTCGCTGGAGGTTTCCTTCTGCTTCCGTGACGTACTGCAGCAAAAAAAGAGCCCGAGGCACAGAAGTTAATGTTTGAAGTACAGAGTTGTTTAAAAAAAGGGTCAGAACAAAGGAACAGAAGGTATTGATGATCTGTTTCAGAGGATGTTAAGGTAAGAAGGTAGATTTTCCAAAGAGCCCAGTATGTAGGTAACAAAAAGAAAAAAATTACTCAGTCTCCAGCAGCTGTAAATTTGATCCATGGTTCAGTGCTTCTGACTTGAACCCCTTTGAAGAACCCAGCTCTGATTAAGAGTTAAGAACTTGAAGCCTGAACAGTTTTGAACACCTGGTCTGAAGTTACCAGATACAATTCAGCCCTGGTCATGAAGCAAGAGAGACATTTCAGACTTGTGTCAATTCATTTGTTATTGGTAACTACTGGAAAATACTCTACAATGAAGTAAACTATTTTACTCTGCATTTCAGCATTCAAATGGATTGAGCTCA